ATAGAATGGGTTCTGAGCATCTTGGGAAAGTTCTATCCAAAGTAAGCAATTATTTTGCATTAATAGATCTCTTTTTAGTTATGTTTCAATGACAAGCTTATGAAACTTACATTTTCTCCTTTTCTTTTTTTGTTCTTTGTTTTCTCCTTTTTAAATTGAGTTGGGCTATCTGATCTTAGAAAACATGTTGAATGACATTTTTGTTTTGAGTTTTGCCTTCTATCTCCAAACAAGAATGCAGAGGTTATCAAAGTATCAAGCTGTCTTATATTTTTTTTTACCGTTCAACAAAAACATGCTTAGCCCATGTTTAGTAGAAATTAAAACCAAGATTTTAATCCAAGTTTAAGTCAACGATTAATTTTAACAAAATATTTTATGGAATCCAGGACTTTTGGATCGCACATTTCATCAACTTCTATCAAAATCTACTGAAGTTTTGATTTTAATCTCCACCAAACAAGGGCTTAATCTAATGCTATCTAAAGCCTTGTTAGAAGGTCAACATTTGTTAGTGGTGTATAAATGTAGATTTATGTGTTGCATCTGTCTTTGTTGATTGATTTATTTGTTGCTGGTCATTTTTTCATGAGTAATGTTATTTATCATTAGTCTAGGTGGCAATGAGACTCTTGATTCATTGTAAAATATAGAATTGGAATGCATTTTTATGCATTGAACAGTGTCTCGATGGGCTCTTTACCAGTTAGATTGGTGATCATGACCACTAATGATGAATTGCATTAGTTGTCTCACAGTTAAGACCCTGTTTGATGGTCATTATTTGGTCAAAACAATGTTTTGAATAGTGATTTTTAGGAGAAAGTGTGGTTAAAAATAGGAAAATATTTTGAGTTTACGTGCCTAATATTTTATTACGTGGACGTGTGGTTGAAAATGAGTATATAGAAAAAAGAATTTCCTAGTAATGGTTGTCAAACAAGTGCTAAGTTATCTAATTGCAGTTATTTTTTGATGTTTTTGATTGTGCTGCCCTGGGACTCCTGATTCATTGTCTAATGGAGTTGTGATGCATTTTTATGCATTGGACAGTGTATTAAGGGGCCCTTCACCACCTAGATTGGTGATCATCACCACTAATAATGAATTGCATTATTATTTTCTCACAATTAAGTTATCTAATCACAGTTATTTTTTGATGTTTCTGACTGTGCTGCTTTCATTCTAGCATTTGGAAACTGTCATCAAATCTCGAATTCCAGGACTTCAGTCACTTATTAACAAAACTATCATCGAACTAGAATCCGAGTTGAGTCGTCTGGGAAAGCCCATGGCTACAGATGCTGGAGTAAGTATGCCTTTCCATTTACTGCCATCTCAGAATTCGTGTTAATGGTCATTCAAGGAGATTGGTTTTGTATCAAATTTGAGAGTCCATATATTGCTACTCAAGCTACTTGCTTTATTCTTTTTATGCTTTCATGTGTTTTTCCTGTGCGCTTGTTTTGAAGTTAAATATGTTCTGCTGTTTTTTCCACAGTCATCCTCACTGCAAGAAGCATTTTAATCGTTAACCCCAAATTATTAATACAGGGAAAGTTGTACATGATAATGGAAATCTGCCGTGTATTTGATGGAATTTTTAAAGAACATCTTGATGGAAGGTATTAGGGAATTTTGATATCACCGTCTTTCTAGTATGTAATGATATTTTATTTCAAATTTTTGTGTGATAGTTCATTCCAATCCTCATTTGATCACTGTGTAATTCTGCAGTCGACCAGGTGGTGATAAGATATATAATGTCTTTGATAACCAACTACCTGCTGCATTGAAGCGGTTGCAATTTGACAAGCATCTTGCAATGGAAAATGTTCGGAAATTAATAACTGAGGCTGATGGATATCAGCCTCACCTTATAGCTCCCGAGCAAGGTTACCGGCGTCTCATTGAAACTGCCTTGATTACTATTAAAGGTCCTGCTGAGGCTGCTGTTGATGCGGTACGTAACTATGTATTTTCATTACGCTGGCATATAAATTATTTTTATAAATTCATTGATTCATAAAGAAAGTAAAAGCCTGTTGATTTCAAATAAAAAGCAAAGGGAAATGTTTTCAATGTGGATATTTTTGCGATGCGGAATATGAATCCTTTTTCACATCCTCTTACGGCCCCCTTTCTGTCAGTAAGACTATTCTTTACCTATAAATACCATGAAATATGGATTACTTGATTTGCGAATAAAGTGAATTTTATCACTATCAGACAATAGCATATGTTGACATGTTCATGATGATACTTATGTAGATCTAGACGATGCCTTTTTGGGGTAGTAGCTGAATACACTGTTTGAAAAGTAGTGTTGATCACAATGTTTATTGGTGAAACAGATAAGTTGCAGAATGTGCCTTCAGATCAACTAATTTTTCTTATTCTTTTTTAGGTTCATGGGATACTGAAGGAACTGGTTAACAGGTCAATTAGTGAGACTTCGGTAAATCTTTTTCGTGTTTTCTTTTCTTTTTTTGTCTATTAAGCATTTTTATTGACTTTATAGTATATATAGATGGAAAAGTGTCTTGGATATCACAGGCCTCAGGATTTCTGAATTCTGTTATGACTTTAAAATTATTGTTCAGTCCTGAGAATTGGTTTACTTAATCTTGTATCTGATTACTGATACTACATGCTCAATATCTGCATACGTCAGGCCTTTCCCTTTGCCCGTAAAAAATTATAAAGAAAAGAGGAACTGGAAGGAAATAGGAAAATTATATATGATACGGAAAAATTATCTTATTCCGTATAACGTTTCAAGATAAAGAGAATGTTTGGTCGGCTTTAAAAAACAGTAGTACTTTATTGAAAGTAAGTTAAAAGACTATCAAATTACAAAGAAATGTGTTTTTGTAAAAAAAAAAAAAAAAATCTTAAGAAATGTTTACTACTAAAATGCTCAAGCATTTTACAAGAAGTTAGTTAAATTAACACTTGTCTTTCTCATTGTGTGCAGGAGCTGAAGCAGTATCCCTCTCTCAGAGTGGAGGTAGGGAATGCAGCTGTTGAATCATTAGACAGGATGAGGGACGAAAGCAAGAGAGCAACAATACAGCTAGTAGAAATGGAATATAGTTACTTGACTATAGATTTCTTTAGGAAGCTTCCTCAAGATGTCGAGAAGGGCGGAAATCCAACCCATTCAATTTTTGATCGATACAATGATTCGTATCTTCGACGAATTGGTAAGTTTATATTAGCATTTTTTTTCTTGCAATTCTAGATCTTCTAGCATTGTGACTTCTTAAATGAGCCTCTTACCTCTTGAGCAGGATCAACTGTTTTGTCTTACGTCAATATGGTTTGTGGAAGTCTGAGGAACTCGATTCCAAAGTCTATCGTTTATTGTCAAGTCCGTGAGGCAAAACGCAGCTTACTCGATCGCTTCTTCACCGAGTTGGGCAAAAAAGAGGTAATAATTCCATTATATACTTCGGCAGCCACCACATAAACACGAACTCGCGCACATATATATTGGAGTTCTATAATGTACAAATTCACTGCATGGCTTTACAGGGAAGACAGCTAGGTACGCTATTGGACGAGGATCCAGCAATCATGCAGCGTCGTGTTTCTCTTGCAAAGAGACTCGAGTTGTACAGAGCTGCTCAATCGGAGATTGATTCAGTGGCTTGGTCGAAATAAACATAGAGAATTTCTTCTCCTTTCCTTTCATTCTTTTCTCATATCGAGCTTTAATTCTTTGATGCAACTCAATATTCTTTCTGCACTGGAAATATGTCTGCCAAATTTTGTATTCGCTCAGCAATATAATTCCATCTACCAAAGTTTTGGGAATTCATATCTGGCTGATGACACCAATGCCCCATTTTATTTATTTATTTATTTTTTATTTTTTTATCTGTTTGTGTTCTGTTTGTCTGTTTGTGTTCATTCTTTTTGTAATACTGCACGTTCACAACAAGAGCCTATAATGAACAACATTTAATTTAAAAGTTTCTAATATATTTTTCAAAACTTAAAAGTTCTAGATTAATCATACAAATATTCACACTTACTTTTCTGTTGAACGAAATGAAAATATTTAGATCCCTAGTTTCACTCACAGAAGTCTTTTCAAACTTTATTTTAATTGAGGTTAATAATATTGCCTAATTAGAGCGTATTGAAAAAAAAAAAAAAGGCTCCACTCTCTTTATTTTAAAGAGTCGATAATCTTTTTAAGTTCTTCAACAAATTCTTTATATTTAAAATTTAAAATAAATAACATAATTGTAGTAGTGATTTTTTGGAGAATGAGTGTTTGAAAATTATTACGTTTGAAAAAAATGTGAGATCAAAAATGAATTTGAAAATAAATGAGTTTGGGAATAAATGAAGCTCAAACAGGGGCTTTATGTTGTTTGTATCTTACAAACTTCTACGACAGTGACCTATACAAAGTAGAATGAACGATCACAAAAAAGAAAATAACATTTCTATTCAAAGTTCAGAAAATTGTTCATTTGAGTCGATGTTCGAATATAGGCAAAAGGTTTAATTATATCCCCCCCCCCCCCCCCCTTC